TATTTGCCGCCATCGGCCGATGGCGATTTATAGTGGTCAGAACATGCTAAAATTCCCCTTTTTAAGTAATTATTGTTATGTTAACAGAAAACGTGCGATGAATGTTAGTTACTACCCTACTAAATTATTTACGGTAATATTCGACCGTGAGTAAGTTCGGAATAACAACACGTCGTCGGTAGGAAATACCTTGGAAAGAACGATTTATGGGGATTTTACCAGCGAAAGCTACTTAGAACAAGAAAGTAACTTATTTTAATCAATGAATTAACGAAAAAAGGTACCGGAACGTCACCGAAACTGAAAGGAATGTTTCGGCCTAGTATTCTAGAAATGCACGTTTAAAAACAGGAACAAATAATACGCAATATACAAGTAAAACCGAAGATTATTATTACATATTGAAAACCCGTTTACGAATTTACGATAAGCAATTTTTTTATTTTCTGAACTGACGCAAATGAGATAAATTGTAGGCGGATGACTGCGGTAATGTGCTGTTCAACTGCAATCTTTTCGCGTCTTCAACCTCTGAATTTCTCAAGAACGGGCTTCTGCATCAACTTTTTCCCTATCCACAAACAGCGTTATAACTTTAAGACGTGTCATTTCTTTGAATCGCCAGATTAAGTTTACTTTTTCTGATGAATAGAGACAGGACAAACTTCGGGATCCGCTGTTATGAATAAATAATAAAAAAAAATAATAATAATCATTCACGCCAGCCTGATTAAATATGATGCGGAAAATAATCAGTTACTAAGCAGTTCCCAGGTTACATTATGGTAAAAAAGCCCCCCCCATTTTACTCTTTGATAAAAAGTAATTGAAAAAATTGCCACTCGCCGTTGAAAGTGCCATCACAAATCTTACGCGCAGGCGGAAAATGGAGCGTACGGCTGGTAACAACTAAGGAGGGGCCATGACAGCCTTCAGCTGTTCGAATGGTTCATTGCATAAAACCTTTAATTTCCTTGTTCGAAGAACCAAATGGGTTAAATTCTGCATGAAATCTGACATCAAAAGAAGTGGAAAACTGTATCCTCTTGTTCGACAGAAACTTAGATTCTCTATAAGTAAATGAGCCGCTTCACAACATAGATTTGACATACGGTCACTGTGTCTCTTGCATGTGGTTACTTTTCTAAGCCGCCTCACCCTACCACCCGTGGATACAGTTTTATTCGAGCTTTCAGTTTAACAAGGCGGTTAATGGAAATTGAAGAAAAATAAAAAAACGCAACTGGTGATATAAGCTATGGGATACGTATCCAGATAACTTTTAGTAGTTTTTACAAAGTTTGACTCATACTCGAAACGATGGTTGGTTTCTTTCTTTCCTGGCTTTCACATGCAACTTTAAGTGAAAATTTAATTACATGCTTCTCTCCAAAAATAAATCGATGAACGATTATTGTTCTGTTTACGAAACTTAGATGAGTCCAAAACACTTCAACTTTCCGAGTGTGTGATATCCAAACTCATAAGGGGCACCTGAAGCATCTCCAAACCTCAACTGTGAAACAGGAAGCTTGGACTTATTTGTGAGGAAGCCGCTGTCCTCTCACCATACATCGTCGTCACAGTTACATACATATCCTTGGTTTGCACATGTTTTGTTGAAACCGCATGCGCATTTGTATGGAACAGAGTCGACTCCTCCCCAATACGTCATCTTCTCGCCCTCAAGAGACACCCACCAGTTGAACATATCACCATTGTAAAGAAGGATTGATTCATAGCATTTGTTCTTAATAAATTGCTCACAGTGAGCAGATGAAGCTGTTAGACTAGCCAGCTGAAGAAGACTGGTTTCATGGTAAGTGACATTACGGGAATTACTGCCTTTGGGATCAAACCCATCCACCAGTGTTCTGTTTTCACTGTCATGACTGACAACTGTCACTCCGACACTGACAGTCATGTCACAGAAAACTTTGAAGGGTTTTACTCCATCTTCGCCATGCGGATCGATAACGTACGAGTCATTTATAGCCTCCGGATAGGAGGTTTGATGGTACTGCAGGTTTTATATCCTTCTAAACCAACAGATAAAAGGAAAACGAACCATCTCACGAACGATTCACTATCAAGGCATTTTTTTTTACCATACATTAGAAGCGATAACGTAATTTAAGCCTTTTAGGAGACTAAAAAATTTTTTTTTCTCTCAGAGAGATTCATTTCCATGGAAATAAGGAGCAAAATAGCCGACGAAAGTCGAGCTTTTCAGTATCTGTTGCTCTGTAAAATTGTTAGAGGACGCTACAGAAATAAGCCGTTTCACAGAAGTTTGAACAACATTTAGATAGAATTTATTGGTTTTGCATTAAAAAATAAATAAAAACAGTTTGTAGTAGTATAGCGGATAATAACAGAAAAAAAAACAACAACAACAAAAACAAAATACAAGTAAAGGTCACAGTATGAATTTTACTTCAGAGGTTATAACTTTCCCCTCTAGGGTTAAAAATGATAAATTTAATACCTTTATGTTCGCACTGAGTTCCATTGAATCCAGGCTGACAATTACAGTGATATGAGTTCCATTCGTATTCAGGAACACAAACACCACTTTTCTTGCAGGGAGTGCTTTCACATGGAGACTAAAACCAAAGTAAACATCCCTTGAATCACGCATTTTCTACATTAAGAAATACAACGACTGTTAATCACCAAAAATATGAAGAGATCTTACTATAGGACTGTAGTGATGGAATGTGGCAATTACACGAATCTTTTCAGCCTTTCTGTACTTGTCTGTGGCCAACAACTCACACAGATAAAGGCCTTTGGAGTCAGGATACGCTGCCATGTTGAACGAATAGCACTTTGGATCACCGATACAAAGAAAAGTGCAGTCCAACTGATCTTCCACCATGGATGATGTTACCTTCTTTTCCCATAAGTAATGGAACGGATTGCGGTTTAAGCTGCCGAGAGAAATGTAACCTTTTGGATATCGATTGAGAGCGCTGTTCTGCATGGCAAACATCGACTTAAGCAAAGGAGGAAACATCACAAAGAGAGGTAGGAGTATTATGATGGTGGCTTGTCGACTGTCAGCATCTGAATGAGTTGCTTTAGGATACGGAGAATTTAAACCTTAAATGTGAAATATACTAAATATGGTAACTGTATTTCTACGTAAATCTTGTCAGGGAACAGGTGCAACTCAAGAGTGGAGATGTGAGATGCTGCGAGAATTTAAGGAAAAAAGAACATCTTTTTTTTTAAATTCCGAAAAAGCAATTTTTTCTCTCTAGTATCTTAAGCGATCGGTTAAAAAAAAAAATTCAATTTCATACGCTGGTATTCTGTTCTAATTTACCCGTTTTGTTTGATGAACTAATTGATAGTTTCCGTGGATTATGTACACGTCCGCTAGTTTGTGTGGTCAACCGTTAATTCATAATGAATTGCACGTTAGGGAGATTCGTGAGCCTTTTTAAACTACTTCGGCCATTTTTCAGATCTTTTATGATCTTAATCCTTAAAGACATGTTTAATAAGTGTGGATGAATACCACAAACTCATAAAACCCGGTTTATACACTTTCCTGCTTCCTGAGATACAGTTGAGAATATCCCATTTAAGTTACTCCATCACAAGTGGTAACATGCTAGACGTGGTCTGAAGATGCTAGGAAATCTCTAAATGCGTGAGCCTCGAAGGACTGTTTTGTTTAGTCATTTCATTTCTGTTGAATAGCAGTTTCAACCAGACAATGTAAGGATATTAATATTAACGTATAAAAATATCTCCTATTCATACAGGTTTATTGTTTACGAGTTCCAAAACATTCAAAGAAGAAGATTTTGAAAAAGCTGCATCGCTGTTGAAGAATAACTTTTCTCTAGTTTAGGCAGATTAATCGGATCGCTTATCCACGCTAAGTTTTGGCACTCGTCCAGCATTTGATGTGCGTAGAAGTGGCGTCGAATTGCACCTGCTATGCAGGTATTTAAGAAGAAATTATTAAACTTCGACTTATATCATATGTATACAGACCTTAAGGTTCAAATAACTTCCATGATTGTGATATATGCCACGGAATTATTACTTCAATAAAACGATGAATGTTTGTCACTACTCCAATTTGATTATAAACGAAAGTTTAGAACGGGTTTGTGCAGCACCTTAATTTGTCTTGTTTACATAGGCATCGATATATCCTTTGGACGTTGACATTAAAACAGCAGGAAGTTTTCTTAATTTTTTCGTTATCTTTTTTATTTCTCTTGTCAAGACTGCTTTTGCCAAAATGTTTATCCGAAAAAAATCCGAAATGTGAAATAATAGTTTTCTAACTGAATGCAATTTAACACTAATACGAACGCAAGTAGAAAAAATGTAGCGTAATTATTGAACTGTCTTGTATCAAATATCATTCTAGGTATTGTTGTTACGACTTGCCGGAAAATGTGCGAAGGACGCTCGATTTCAGTCTTGAATTTATTAATGTCTGTTGGCACCATTTACCCCTTTAATTCCTATGAGTGTCCAAGACAGAATTTTTCCCAACA